ATTAACATTAGTGGCTGTGGCAATAACCCCACCCATGTTTCTCACTCCAACTCTATATCTATATCTGTTCCCACTGCTTTTTCATTTTTCTTTTGAATCATTATCCTACTTTTACGCGAATCGAATTTTGTGGTACAATAGTTCGATCCAAATTTATATTTAGATGAGGTTATTAAAGTTTTAAATTTTATTATCGTTGTAAATTTTATTAAAAAATAATTTAATTGTTACATGTCTTATTTAAAGAGATAAAATATTTACCCAATTTAAAAATCAATCACTAACAATTAACTCATTAACTCTCTTATTATCACCCTTGCGAAAAAAAAAATTATCATACTTTTACAATAAGTTAAAAGAAGTCTAAGAGGCTGCATTTCCGTTGTGAAAATGAAAGGGGGCCATGACAAGTCACACGGAAATCACGTGTAAGAGGAAATCGTCAAATACCAAAAATATAATACCAAAAAAGATATCGTGTAATGTAAAGGCAAATTGAGAAGAAAAATCACTGGAGAAAGTAAATTCACGAGTGACCGGATGAGTTAATCAAATTTTTTTTTTAAATTTAATTAAAAATTTTAATTTTAATTTTTAAAAATATAATTTTATTAAAATTTGTAAAAAAGAGTTTTGTCATTTATTAAATTTTATTCAACTCAAATTTAAATTTATTAGTGATCTAATAAACTTTTGAATATAAAATGATTCATACCAAAAATAAAATCACAAGAGAAAGTAAGAGGAATCCAAGGCAGGGAAAAAAATTTTGAGCTGAGAGATATACAGCTAGAAGAATCGGATGAAAAATTAAAGAAAAAAAGCCACAAAAATAAATTCACTATTCTGAATTATAGGTAGATTAATTTTTTTGGCTCAGAAAATAATAAGTAAATTAAAAAAATCGTTTAATCGGTGAACAACGAAACCATGTAATTCACTCATATCTGCTCATAGTTTTTGTCCAGCATCTTCTTTAATTTCCCCTCCGTCTCTGCAAAAACATAATACTAAGTAATCGGTGAATACTGAAACTAAAATTATAAAATTAAAAATTT